GCGTTACGTCTGGCACGCGCGGGAGGGACGCGGAACGTGTAGTAAAATTCCCGAAGGTCGTCACAAGAAACTGCCAGCCATTCCCCAGGTGCCAGCCCCAAACGGCACAGGAGGAAACCTTGGCCAAGGCGCTGGGTGCTGGAAGAAATTGAAGCACAGCGGCTGTTCACAACCGTGGGGTTCAGGATCAGCCTGTCGAAATCGCTGTCCTTCGGTACCCTGAAAGCTCCACAGGCTTCATCCCAGGCGAGGTCCGAAGCAGGAGTCAGGTACAGGGCGCCGCAGGCATCCCACTTCTGGAGTAGGGCCCACAGCTCGGCGCGGTCCATATGGACGCGCGCTCCCTTCTGGCCAGCAGGCCACTCTGATGCCGGTAGCCGCATAACCTCAGGATCGAGGAAAGCTTCGCGGACTCGCGCGTCAGAGAGGAAGGGAACGGGATCAAACTCTGGCGAATAATCCCACTTGATGCGAGATGCCCTGACTTTCAAATCGAAGGGCTCGGCCTGGGTGGAGTCCCAAGCCGCCGCAGTCGCCAACGACCCAGGCACCGGAGGAGCGCCGGTCGGGCAGTGCCGCATGGGGGCAGGCACGGAAGAAGAGGAGGTGAAAGAGGCCTCCAGAGCTGCAACATGGGTGGCCAGGCCATGGAGCGAGACCTCGGTGGAGTCGAACTTGGCGAAAGCCCGACCTAGGTCGCTCTTGCCGCCACGGGCAAGGCGAACTGCGATCCGACACAACCGTTCGATACGGGTGCGGACGCCCTCCTGGCAGGGCGAGACCGTGGCACGGACGCGAGCCTCGGCGGGAGCGAGGCTGGGATGACCCAAGGTGAGCCAGTTCAACGCAATAACGGAATACTGCGCGAGCGTCCGCGCCGCGCGCCGCAGTCTCCAGCGCTCCCTGCGCCTCGCCGACAAGCCGTCAGGCGGGGGACCAAGAGGAGGAGCAGGCGGGCACGGCCAAGGATCGCGGGGAGGCGGCCCCAAAAGGTACGGACCGTCCCTGTCCATTGCACGCATAGATGAGCGGGAGAAAGAACCAAGAGAACATCGAGCACCCATCCCAACCTGGGACAGCGCTGCTGCCCAGTGGGTGATATCAATGTTCGCGCCTGGGAACAGGCGCAGCAAGGCAGACAAGTCAGCGACGAATGGCGCGACTTTGGCAAGAGCAGCAGAGGTGCCTGAAGGAGAGCAAGCACCAGCAGGGACACCAACCTCAGGGGCTGCAGGCCCCCTGGAGGGCGCGCTCGACTGAGGCAAGCGTCGGCCAAAATGGCCCGAGGGATCCGAGAAGCGGTTCGGAGCAGAGCGAAGGGCGTGGTGGCGGAACGTACTCCTCCCTGCGGGGCCGCAACAGCATCGCTGGAAGAGCGCATTCCTACCCTCACGCCCTCGCTGTGCCCAAACGCGCCTAGCAACCGCAACAGCGTCGGTGCAGTCTGTGTGCGGCGGCGTACCCCGGCCCCCCGCAGGCCCACCCTTCCAGGTGGCGGGCGCCGAAGGCGCCTTCAGTCTTTCTTGGGCACCGCCTTCGGCGCCTTGGAAGCACCCTGGGTCTTGAAGGGCTGCTTCGCAACCTTGGGCTGCTTGGGCTGGTGAGGAGGGTGCTTGGGGAGCGCGACGGCGCGCTCGGCGTCGAGACGCGCCCGAAATGCTTGCAGCTCCTTCACGTATTCGCCCTGCGCCGACAGCCAACGAGGGTCCACCAGAGGTGAAAACGGGGTCTGGGCCTCGCGCTCCGTGTGAAGACTCGTCACGCGACACGGGGGAGGCTCCAGTCCTGTGAGGAACCAGGCGGCTTCGAGATAGCCGCGGTCCCCCGCCAGTTGGTCGATGAACATGCACTGACACGTCAGTAGAGTCTGGACTCTCTCGGGATTGCCCTCTTCGCAGGCCCGCCACAGCTCGGCGCTGAGAAAGGCGAAATGCGTCAGCAACTCGTGCGTCGTCGGCTGAGCCCCCAACGGACTGTGCTCCCGAAAGTACTGATGCATGGCCATGGGGGTCACGGCGCTGACTTCCACGCCTAGGACGCGAGCCAGATTCTCCTTCATCAGCCCTCGCACGTCGGGGCCGTGCTGTATCAGCGCTTGCTGCCACTCGCGCCTCCGAGCAATGCCCCCCATCTGAGCCGATACGGGCGCGGGCTCGCCCGAGCTCGCGGGCGGAGATTGAGCTGAGTCGCTCAGGGTCCCCAGCAGCGGATGGACGGTTGGACGGTGGCCCCGCCCCTGCTGCAGAAGGAGGGACTGGTGCAGGCACTGTAGCATGAGGCTGAAGTCCGTCGGATTGGCCGCATGGGGCGGCTCTAACCCGTCGGCGCCGCCCGCCTCGGCAAAGCCGTCGACCGCAGCGGGATGGGCTAACCCAGGTGGCGGCGGAGGGCCCATCGTTCCGAAGCCCGACGAAGGGGCCCGAGGGACAGCCAGAGAGCGCGCCTTTTCCCACGCCGAGACCAGCGCGGAGGTCGGACCCTTGGGACGCGCGGAGACCCGCTGCGGGGCCACGGGCGCGTGGGACAGGACGGCCTCGATCCCCGCAGGGTCCAGCCCGAGGCGCACCGCTTCGTCGCTGAAGAGCTGAGGCACCTCGGGCCGATCGCTCCGAGCAGGCGGCTCGGGGCCCAGCGATTCGGGTCGGCCGACCATCGTGGAGGCTGCGTGGGCTGCAAGCAAAGCGCGCATTTCGGCAGCTACTTCGGCACGGGTCATAGGAGCCCCGTCGTCCAGAGCCGCCGCAGGGGCACCAGGAGCGATCGAAGCGGGGCCCGCGACCCGTGGCGGCGCGGCTGCGCCCGTGCGCTTCGGGGGCGGGCCGCGAGGCGCTCCAGCGTCCGCGGGAGATCGCGCACTTGGGGCCGGGCGTTCGGCGTCCTCGTCGGCCGCGAACCCTTCGGGCTCTTCCATCTCGTCGGCAGAGTGATAGGGAGTAGCCCGATCGGCCCCTGGGAGCGGCTCCTCCCCTGCGGTAGGCGGGGCGCCGTGCAAGCGTGCGTAACCCTCGCGAAGCACCCGAACCCCTGAAGGGTGTGGCCAATAGACGCGGCCCCGCACCTCGGCGAAGGGGACGATGGCCGCGTCCTCGCCGACCTCTAGAGGGTAAAGCGACTCGAGCTCGAGCTCTGCAACCTCGATATCCACGACGAGGACGGAGGCAGTAGTGGCGAGCGGCCGCGAAGCGGCCCCCTGGAGCTGGGCGTCCACTAGCTGGAAGGGGCCTATCATCCCCGCAAAACCCCCCGCCTCGGCAGCCTCGAGCTCCGCCGTAGAGCGAAAGGCGCCAGGCAGGGCCAGGAGGATGCCCCCTTCTCGAGACGCGAGGGGGATAGCTGCCCAGCTGGTGTCGCCGTCGTCTAAACGCCAACGTGCGTAGCCGCGAGCCGTGGGAGCTGCGAATGGGTAGAGCTCGGGCCATAGAGGCCCTCCGCCAACTGGTGGCAGCTCGGCCATCAATGGGCGCAGCCGAGGGAGTTGCTCCCTGAATGCTGGGCGTCTGCCCGCACGAGCGCTCAGGGCCGCGGCGGAACCCCGTAAGCCAGCGCTCGCGCCGCACGGCGGTCCTGCTCAAAGGGGGCAGGAACCGCTCCGCGCGGCCAGGCGGAGGCCCTGAGCCTCCGCCACGCGTACGGGCCCAGCAGCCCGATGCAGCAGCCTGCGCAGGCGCTGCACGCGGCCGTCACCCCAAGGAGGGCGACGACCGTGCTGAGCAGCCAGGGCGAAACCCCGCCGCTCAGATCCACCGCCAGCCCGAGGCAGACGGTGGGGCAGGCGGAACCCGCCGAAGGGAGGGGGCAGAAAGCCCCCTCACCCTCGGACGAGTCCGCCTGCTGGATGGACCAGGCCGGCGCAGGAGGCCCTGGGTCCTGAAGATCAGAGAAAGGGGCAGACACGAGCCGCTCGTAGAGCGCGGCCCGCAGCCCCCTGAAGAAGATCTCCCCAGCGCCTCCGAGAGCCGCTTGTGCGAGCGCCTGCATAAGGCGTCCGCACGCGCGGCCGACGGGGGGGCACTTGGGCTGAGAAGCTGCGGAGACAGCAGGAGCTTGCTCACAGAGAATAGAAGAAGCAGGAGGAGGAAGAGGAGGAGGAGGAGGAGGAGGAGGAGGAGAGGGAGGAGAAGGATGAGGAGGAGGAGGGGGAGGAGCAGGGGGAGAAGGAGGAGGAGGAGGAGGAGGAGAAGGAGCAGGGGGACAGGCCACGGTGCACACGCGCCAGGGGGATGGAGAGGAGGAGTAGGAGGAGGAGGAGGAGGAGGAGGAGGACTGGAATGGACTGGACTGGACTGGGGGAACAGGAGGAGGAACATGATGATAATGATGATGATGATGATGATGATGATGATGAGGAGGAGGAGGAGGAGGAGGAGGAGGAGCAGGAGGAGGAGGAGGAGGAGGAGTAAGAGGAGGAAGAGAGGGGAGAGTCCTGGGGGGGGATGAGACCAAAAAGCAAGAACAGGCGCAGGAGGAGGGGGAAGGGCCGCGAGGGGCAGACGAGATGCGGAGGACGAGGAGGTCGAGGGCAGCAGGCGGTGGAAGGCCGAAGGAGCACAAAGTGGAGGGTTACGCAGGGCGGGCAGCCAGCAGCGGGAGCAGCAGGGGGAACGACGAGGAAGTGCACGAGAGGCAGAGGAGGACGAGAATGACCCCGATGACCAGGAACAAGGAGGATATGATCCTTCGCCGCCTTCTGAACCCCGTCCTCCTCCTCATCCTACTACCTCCCGCTTTCTCCCCCTCGCCCTTCCCTTCCTCCTCGTCAATCACATCGCCCTCATCACCATTCCCTTGCTTCGCAACCCTGCCTCCTTCCCTCTTTTCCTCCTCCTCCTCCTCCTCCTCCTCCTCCCTCGTTCCTCCTCCTCCTCCTCCTCCTGCCCTCCCCCTCCAACCTCGTGGAGGACGACGACGATCTCGACATATCTCGAGCACCACATCGGGGACGATGATTTCAGTGCCGACGACGACGACGACGACGACGACCACGAACGACGGGGCAGCACCGACAGGCCGGCGAACCCCGCCGAGCTCGCCACGCCGGGCTGCACCACCGGCTGCAGCAGCTTGACCTGGCGCTCGCGCGCTGCGCTCTCGAGAAGGTGCAGTCTCAGGTCGGGCGTGTCCTCCTACAGGCGGATCTTGGACGGTCGGGCGCGTCCTCCTACAGGCGGATCGCGGACAAAGAATATATAAAGAATAGCCCCAACATATAAACAACAAGTCGCACACCAGAAACAGCACACAGTCGCCCCCAGGTTTTTTTACTATGTCTGAGCACTCCTCCTGCAGAGGGACACGCCCGACTCGAGTGCCGTCGGCGGCCCTCTTCGGCCGCCTTCGGCGGCGCCTCCGCGGCTCCTCGGCGGCTGGCGGGCCCGCGGCTCCTCGCCGCACCGCCCTGGGCCGGTCGGCAGGGCGGCCGGGCCCGAGCGAGCGGCGGCCCCGTCTGCACCAGAGGAAGAGCAGCAACGGCATACATAGGGGCAAAACAAACCTACCTCGCTTTTGACCACCCTCGCTTCCAAGAGATACCAAACGATGCCAAATTGCAGGCTGTACTGGTCAGGCCGCTTGGCGAGGAGGCGCGTGGTATGGCTTGGTTTTACCTGGAAGCGACAGCGGGGTAGGTAATTCACGCTCTGAATACAGTCGGGGCGTTGACCTAAGGAACCCTAAAAAAGGAGCGAGGCCCCCCTTTTCCACAAGTTAGCCTGTGAACCTTCGAGTTCCGGTCGAAAGCATAAGGAGAGCCTGAGGCAAGCTGTGAAACACTTATAAGGAACGCGGAGCCCCTCCCCAACGACAAGGGTTCCTTCTTCAGGGCCCCGACTGCACAGTGCGGGCGCGGCCGCAAGAAACCCTCGCAATGAACCCAGCCCCGAAAGCCCGCGCGCGAGGTGCACCCGAGGGGAAACCCGGAGCACCCTGAACGCAGCAGCTTCTTCAACGGCCGCGGGAAGCCACCGCGCAGCTCGCGGAGCGAAGAAACCCAGGATGCCCTGACGAACTGCAGCATATGGTTTCTTAATGCGCGCCCCCACTGTCAACATAAACTTTCGACGGTCCGCGCGGATTTCTAGGATTCGCGCTGGGCCCCCCTCCCTGGCGCGCCGAGCGCGCCAGGGGCGGCGCCGGAGGCGCCGCCAGGGGGCCCCAGCGCAGGCCCAAGAAAGCCGCGAAGAGCGCCAGAACTTTATGTTTATGCCGTTTTTTCTTCTTCGGTGCACGAATGGCGCACGTCGTTTTTCAAAGCGTGTTCTCCCCCTAGCGGTGCGCACACTCGTCTCGAGACAAGATCAACGCTTCCACGGATGGGAGGCGGGCCGTTTTCCAACGAGGTTCTCGCCTTCTCGCCGTTCGCGCTCGTCTGACGGACACGCTATCAACAACTACACGGATAGAGGGCAGGACGTTGTCGAAATGTGGCTCCAGCTGAACACTTACTCATTCAACGTGCACAGTCGTAACCCTCTGGACAAGTCTAGCCAGGGAGATATCAGATGCTGCCCTCGAACTTCGTTGCCCGTAATGATCCTGAAACTGCTTCGAACAATGGCACGAACGATCGTCGGCTCCCTTCGAGGACCATGCGTTCCCTCCGCCGCCAAGCGCACTTTCCAGACGGCTCCCGCCAGCTGCGTGGATCGAGGGCTCTCGCAAGGATGGCGCGCACCCGAAGACAGGAACACCCCCACATGGCTGGACTCGTGTGGAGCATCTGGAAGCCGCACGCCGGATTCGCATGCGGAGGCCCCGATTACACGGGCACAGAGGGCCCTCCCGGCGCCGGAGAGGTTTGGGCCATCCTGGGGCCCTCTTGGGCCGTCCCGGGCCTTCTTGGGCCGTCTTGGGGAGCTGGGGAGCTGGGGCCCTCCAGAGGTCTTCTGAAGCCAACTAGGGCCCTCTTGGGGGCCTCCAATGGCCTTCTTCGGGGTCTCGCATGGCTTTCGTGGGTCTCTCTTGGGAGCCTTCTGGGGGCATCTTGGGCTTCTTGTGGGCAGTCTTGGGGCTCTCTGGGGCAATCTTGGGGCCCTCTTGGGCTGTCTTCAAATCCTCTAGGGGGCCTCTTGGGCTGTCTTGGGGCGATATCGGGGGCCTATCGGGCCGCTCGCAGTCCCAAACAGCGGAAATGTTAAACTTATACAATTTTCCGAAGGAATGGGACAAAGTTTGCTTCTTCGGGGCTCTCTCAACAGCCTCTTGGGGCGTCTTTGGGGCCTTTTGGGCCGTTTTCAGACCATCAAGGTTCCTCTTGGAGCGCTCTGGTGCTGTCTTGGGTCTCTCTTACGCCTCTCCGATGACCCCTCTGATCGCCTTGAGTCTGCTCGCAAGGACCGGCAAGGCGCCCTGGGAGGCCAGGAAGGGCCAGCGGATCTTTTCCTAGGGCGTCCAGGGGGCCGCTGAAACGTCCGAAAGGGTGTCCAGGGCGTCCCTGGGGGGGGATCCGGTTTAGGGGGTGGGGTGGGGTGAGGGTTCCCGGTAGTAGAAATATTAGAATAGATTTAATACTAGTAAATAAATGTATATGAACTGCCGCGGGCATCTACCTCGATCGAGGAGGAGTAAGAGGAAGAGGAGGAGGAGGAGGAGGAGGAGGAGGAGGAGGAGGAGGAGGAGGAGGAAACACAAGACAGAATATTTCGTCGTCGCCGCCGATGTCTCACAGGTTTTCGTGGTCTTTCGACCACCCGAGGCATCTCCTCGAATTCAGCCTCCAGGAACCGTTTTCGGTGCCGGGGACCACCGCCGAAAGTCCGGGATGAGGATCGACCTCCCTGGCAGGTGCCACCCCTTCACAAAGGAAGGAACACGGGGCGGATCGAGGCTCGAGGCATGAGACTCATAGTTCTTGGGCGCTCTCCGACCCCTTTGGGCCTTCAGGAAGCTCTTCGTCGACACAGCTGGGTCCACTCTCGAACTTCTGGCTGGACGCAACCCCAGCTGGGTCTCAACGATCCCCGAGCCTATCCAGGAGGTGGAAAAGAAGGCCTGGGGCAGGCCCCGCGAAGGCCCAAGAAACTCACATATGACCACGAAAACTTCACAACAATCCCCTGCAAGGCCCCCGCTTGAACCCAACACGCTACGTAGGGCAGGCCGAAACCCCGAAATTACCCAGCGATCGCGCGCGTTCCGCGAATTCTGTCTTTCACTCTCGCTGCCGCCCCAAGAGGTCGGCGGTGCGGCGTAAACCAATGAATCACGAGGCAGGCAACAACGGCGCCGTAGGACTCCTCCTCTGCTCCTCCCTCTCGTCCTCTCCCTCGTCGTCCTCCTGCCTCCACCTCCTGCGGGCCCCCCGCCCTCGCCGCCCTCCTCCTCCCTCTCCGCGCCCTCCTCGTCGTCCTCCTCCTGGGCGGAGGAGGGAGACGACGACGGGGAGGCCGCCGACGACGACGACGACGACGACCACCGCGACGACGGCCATCACGATCACGATCATCACGACGAGGGCGACAACAGCGACGCCACCGACGAAGACGCGGCCGCGGCGCCCAGGCCTCCTCGGGCCAGTTGGGGTCGCCGCCGCGGGGCCCACCGATCCTGTGGCGGCAGGGGGAAGGAGGTCGATGTCGACAGGCGCCCACCCCGTCGACGGTCGGGACCGCTGGGAGAGCGTGTCGCTCCCCCCGGCGGGGGCGGGAGGCTCGGACAGGCACGGGACACTGACGCCTCGGGGCCGCGAAGCGGACGGCGCTTCGCTCCAAAGCGCGGCGGGCCAGAACGAGCGGAGCGACACGCGATCCAGGAGTTCCCGGCAGTACCGCCACCGCGACGGCCGCGGCACCCGCGCGGATTCCAGCTGCCGCCCGCTGCTAGTGCTGCGCCACTTGCCTCTCCCCCCCCTGAGGCAGCAGGAAGCGGGGACCCCCTTTCCCTCCGGATCCGCTTTCCCCACAGCGACCTCCTGGGTGTCCATCACACGAGCGGTGCCCGCTCGGCTCAGTACGCCTCCACTGAAACGCGCGCGGCCGACCTGCTTCCGCCATGGTTCGCGATGTCCGTATGTGCCCGTTGGTGTTTCCACGACGATCCAGGAGCCCTTCAATGGCCTTCGTCCCGCTCCCCTTCCCTCCTTCTCCGGCGCCTCCTGCTCCTCCTCCATTCTCTGCCTCCCCTTCCTGCCCCCCTCCCCTTCTGTCACCATCCTCCTCCTGCTCGTCGCCCCCTTCCCAACTCTCCTCTTGCAGAATCGTCGCGTCGCTTGTGTTGTTTGCGTCCTTGCGTATGTTGTTTGGCGGCGGCGCAAGAGGCTGACCCGTGTCCCTGCTAAGACATGCCGTTGCCTTCCTCCTTTCTCCTCGTGCAATCCCTCCTTAGTCCCGCCCTCATCAGGGAAACTCCTGTGCCTCCTCCTCAATCCCACCTTTCTCAGTCTGGCCCTCCTCCCCTTCTCCCAAGGTTCCGATTTGCCACTGCAGGCCAACCTGCTGACAAAAACCAAGTAGGGAAGATCGGGGGGACGAGGAGGACGCGCGACATGAATAGGATGGTAAGGGGGAGGAGGGTCGGAACGGGCATTTGGGGATCGCTTCTGGTCCTCGTCCTGCTGTTCCTTCTCTTCCTCCGAGCACTCCTCCCCATCCCATCTCTTCCCCCTCCTCCTCTTCGCCCCGATCACCCATCCACTCCTGCTCCTTATCCGTCCCTCCTCCTCCTCCTCCTCCTCCTCACCTCCTCCTCCTCCTCCTCCCTCCTCCCCTTCCTCCTCCTCCTCCTCCTCCTCCTCCTCCTCCTCCTCCATTCCTCCTCGTCCTCCTCGTCCTCGTCTCCTTCTCCTCCTCCTCCTCCTCCTCCTCCTCTTCTTCTCCTCTCCCTTCCTCCTCCTTCTCCTCCTGTGTTTTCCTCCTCCTCCTCCTCCTCCTCATGCTCCTCCTCCTCCTCCTGGTGCTCCCCCCCCTTTCTGCTACCCCCCTCCATCATTCCTCTTCCCTCCCTAATCCATCTACCCCTCCTCCTGCGCCTGCTTTGTCGTCGCCATCCTCCTCGCCGCGCGAACTGGGCTCGGGACGCCAACCGACTGCTCCTAGGGCAAAGCTCAGACGGCTCGCCCGGGTGGTCGGGGGAACGGGCCCTCCTCGTCCTCGTCCTCCTCGTCCTCGTCCTCGTCCTCGTCCTCGTCCTCGTCGTCGTCGTCGTCGTCGTCGTCGTCGTCTTCCTCCTCCTCCTCCTCCTCCTCCTCCTCTCTCTCCAATCCTCCTCCTCCTCCTCCTCCTCCTCTCCTCCTCCTCCTCCTCCTCCTCCTCCTTCCTTCTCCTCTTCCTCCTCCTCCTCTTCCTCCCTCCTCCTCCTCCTCCTCCTCCTCCTCCTCCTCCTCCTCCTCCCCTTTTCCTCCTCGTCCTCCTCCTCGTCCTCGTCCTCGTCCTCCTCCTCGTCCTCCTCCTCCTCCACCTCCCCCCCTTCATCCTTCCTCCTCCTGTTCCTTCTCGTCCTGAAGCAATGACGCAATGGCGGCCGTGGAATTCTCCAAACGCGGCCGCTTCACCCAAGGGGGGCCCAGTCGGGCCCCCTTGGGGAAAACACATGGAACAACACGAAATTTTGCACCGAAGCCATGCAGTACAGGAGAGATGGGAAAATGACAAGAGTATCCTCATCATCGTAAACCTGGAGGAAAGAAAACATCGAGGTCTAAAGCGGAAGCGTGGCGCGGGCAGCGCGTGGCGCGGGGGGGGGGGCCCGTGGGAGCCCGCGTTGAAAGCCCCCCCTCCCGTTCGGACACCCCGGCCGCCGTAGGACCCCCTTCGCAAAGGTGCCCTCGCCAGTCTGCGGGAAAGTCGGAAGTAAGGGGTGGGGACATGTGAAGCGAAGGTGCAAGCGGAGTGGAAGCGAAGGTGAAGGGGGTGAGTTGTGGTGGTGGGAGTGAGCGGCGGCGGCCTGGGCGGTAGAAGATCCCGCGGGGCTCCGATTGGGTGCCGCTTGTAGCGGAGAGGGACCTAAGGGCCTCTACCTCTGCAGGCGTTCCCGAAGCTAACTGCGGGATCCCTCGCCCGCGCGCAGGCGTAGAGCTCCCAACACGTCGGCCTCTGGGCCGCCTCGGGGGCTCAACCGAGCGTGAGGGAGGTTTGGGCCCTCCCCCTGTGGTGGCACAGCGCAGCGCGGGCCACTTGCGCCAAGGCAGTCGGTCAAAATGCATCACTCGCTGCACGTAGGATACCCTCCGAAGCAGCCACCACCCCCATGACTGGTACCGCCCCCCGCCGAGGCAGGAGCAAGGTACCCAGATCATGGGAGTGGTGGTTGCCTGGGGAGGTTCCGCGGTGCGTGGGCGTGGTTCCTGTCATCTGTAGCGGCGGCGCGGGTGCGTGGAGTGCGTTGTTTGCTGTGCTAGCAGGCGATTGGCGACCGCAGCTGCTTTGAGCAGACCTAGGTGATGCCCTGATGGATGCTAATGTCCGCTGCGGCCGCCCTGGCCATTGCCAGGGCGGCCCGCAGTGACTCCGAGCTCCCCCCCTTCCCGATATGACGCGACCCGTGCCCCACCGCAAGAGGGGGGGCGAAGAGAAGATTAGATGGGGCCGGTGGGGGGAGGTGGGGCTGCGAGCAGAAGAGCCAGGAGGCCTGCGGACAGTAGGAGGTTGGTGAGGACCTGGCACATGCACAATCAAGCAAAAACGATCGCAGTCGCCACTGATGTCCACGACGTGCTGCCAGCGCCACTGACGTCCACGCTGTAGAGTACTGCTGTGGCACGCTGTAAACATGCCAAGACCAGGTGGACATCCATGTCGGTTCCAGGATCGCGTAGAGGTGGAACTGGGCGCGCAGCAGTCAGAGTTCCCCGTCTGCGCAAGCACAAGCACGGCGCGGGGAGAAGCGCGCTGATCGGCCGCCGCTAGGCCGGTCCCATCGCGAAGATTGCCTGGCGTTGCGGGCGATCAGGGAGGGTGGTCTCCTGATTCGCCGTAGGTTGGTCGCGCTGGTCAGGCAAGCCAGCTTGGGCGGCGCCAGAGCACGTCGGCCGTGGTTTCCACGGGTCGGGCCCATGCAATGGGAGGGCCTCCTGGTCCGCGCGACGCTGGTCGCCCTGGTAGATGATGCTGCGCTGTCCGTCTGTGGGCGGTGTCGCGGTCGCCCCTGGCTGCCTGCGGGTCGGGCCCGTAGATTTGGAGGGCGTCCTTGTCCGTCTCCTGCTGGTCGCCCGGGTGGATTACACTGCGGTGTCCGTCTGAGGGCAGTGTCGTTGCGGGCTTTCTCTCGCTTGTGTGTGGGGGGCGTCCCTTTCGGTGTTTAGGACCGTGATCATGTTGCGGATCGTTGTAACCATGCTGCTGTCGCCGATGGCGTTCTGCTGCATCTGGCGTGGTGCTTGGTTGTCAGCGGTGCTGCTGGCCGCCGCGTTGCCCGTCGGGTCCGTAGTCGCTCTGGCCTGCGACACGCTAGCCCAGTTGGTCTGCTCAACTGCACTCAGTCCTGAAATCGACGGCCGTTGGTCCAGGTGTCCAAATTGTTGTGGCGCGGTCAAGGCCGCTGGGCGGCAGTAAGTCGCGTGCGGTCGGTGGGTCTGGCGTCGGTTGCCGGTTCGGGCGATCCTGCGTCTGGTTCTCGGGCAAGGGGGCCTGGTTGGTGATGAGCTCGGACATCTTGACAGTGGCCTCGGGGGCACTCTCCATATTCAGGTCTGCGACGAAGAATGGCGTCGGGGTCCGCGCTGGGTTTCGTCATGTTGATTCCTTGATGCCCATAAGGAAGCCTCTTATGCTGTAACGCCACTGCTTGGTCGCGCACGCCGTCGCGCCTGCGGCTCTTGGGGTAGGTCAGCACGTTAGCTAAACAATGAATTGCGCAATTTGTAAAGCCCCTTGGGCGCTGGCACATGTAGAGAGGGCGCGCGTCTCACAACTCGCGGAGCCCGAAGTAGCTGCTAAGTGCCCCTTCCACGTGCGCCGCGACCTGGTCGCACTCGATGCGGCGGTCGTCGGCTTTCGCATCTCTGTCGGCCTCTGCTGGTTCGGTGAGTTCGAGAGTTTCGTCGTAGTGGTGGAGGATGGCCTCGTGGGTGTGAATCATGGACAGCGGGACTGCGCGCTCGGATGGGTCGTTGCTGATTCTGACGGCGAAGCGCTCGATGATGACGTGCATGGTCCTTGATCCGCATCCCTGTGCTCGTGTCTTGTGGTGGTGGAGGTGACGGTTGCTTTGCGAGCTCGGTGGCTGCGTCTCGCATGAGCTTGACGTCGTCGTCGTTAACCTTGGGGTTTGTTGTGGTTTGACGCGTCGCGGTTTGGATCACGTCTGGTCCCTTTGTTTCGTTCTGTCGCGGCGTAGACGGCGGTGGCTTTGGAGGCGCGCCCTACCATAGCTCAAGTGCCCTGGGTTGCTGCTCCTCGCTGCCGCGTAATGGTGTGCTGCGAGACCGTAGGTGGTGTCAGCATCGCCAGTGGGGTTTGATGGCGTAGCGAGAGCGCGGCATGGCCTTTGCTGGCGCAGGCGCCATCGTCATGGACTTCTTTGGCGCCTCGCAGCGCTTGGGCTGGGCTCGCTGGGGATCGACCCCTCGCTGCTGGAGGAAGCGGGGGCCCCTTGGATCGCGGCGGCCATTAGGTCGGGCAGCAGCGTAGTCACGGTGGCGCTTTGTGGTCTGATGTTTGGGTCCCTCGTGACGATGTGCGTCTGTGCTGCGTAGATCTCTGCGATAACCATGCGTATCCTTTGCTGGGCGCACAGATTGTCGCATTGATGCGTAAATAGCAACCGCGCGAGGCGGCAAGTTTCGGCGTCGGAATGCTTCATGTCGCTTACACCGGTGTCAAGTACGTTGGCAAGTGCATAGTTTGTTACGTCCACGCTGTCATTGAAGTCGACGTCGTCGCGGTAATATATGATAGCGGCGTCGAAAGAAGCGATGTCGACCGTGCAAGACTTAGCCTGGGGCGATGGCGACTTTTGACTCGGAGGGGTGGGGGGCGTCGGTGGCGGCGGCGGCTGCGTCATAGTTGGGGCGGACATCGGCGGGTAACGGATAACGTTGCAGCTCCCATCAAAAGCATTGTCCGATGATGAAGCCCTTTTCCAGCCTGCTTGTGGTAATGAATTGCCCGGGTCTGTCCACGTCGTTTCCCTGGCGTCCACGCTGTAGTAATACACTTGGTGGTCCCAGACGTAGTCGTTGCCCTCGTACCTGTAGGCGATCCATGGTTCGGGTGCCGGCAACGGACGGTGTGGTGCTAAGGGTAGCCCTCCGGGAACTCTCTTACGTCGGACTGTCTCGCCGAGGGCATGCGGATTCCAGGTCGGATAGTCTGGGGGGAGGAATGGAGGTGACGGGTTGGTCGGTGGTGGGGGCTGGGCCTTCTGCGGAGCCTGCTGTGTCGGGTTCGAAAAAATTGCGCTGTCGTTTGACTTTGGGTTGGTTCGCTTCGGTTGCTCGCGCCTTGGCCTTCCGTGGCTCACGATCTGAGAGTTGCTCTGGAATGGGATGATGGCGCTTGTACGGAATGCGCTTTGAAAGCCCTCCGCGTGGGGTGCGTATTGGGATGTCCTAGGCCTCTCCAGCATTTGGCGCCCTTGTTGGCGTAAGTCCGCTGGGGTGCGCGATATCATGTTGTGGATGTCCCTGACCGTTGTCTACAGGCAGTCGAAGACGTTGATGCTGATCGGTTCGACCCATGGGGCTGGTCGTGGTCGCGGCGGTCTCTCAATCCTGATTGCCTTCCCCTGAGGTAGCTGATTGGTTGGGGCGCGGTGGCCGTGGGCCCCCTCGTCGTAGGCGACGTCAGCCAGCGCGCGCCACGCTGCCCATTCGAAGACAGGCCACTTCGGGATGCCGTTCGAAGATGGGCCGAGATGCGCGCTCCCATGGTAGCGGATGTGTCGGCCAAGTGCAGCAAAGAGGGCGGAGCCTCGCTCTGGTCCACGTCTTTGCCGTTCCGATCCGTTGCGCGGGGGGCGCAGGCGACTTCGCGGGCCCGTGAGTGGATAGCTTTTCGTCTGGCGTCCTGGAAGTCGGCCCTCCTCTGCACTTGTGCGGACAGTACCTCGTGGATCTGGTCGACGCGTTCCATCTCGGCCCCATCGCGGGCGCTACTGTGGGAGGGGGGAGGGGGGAGGTAGATGGGGTTATTCTCCGCCAATTACTCTGCCCCTTCCCGTGGTAGCGCTGCGATCAGTGCTCGTCTATGCGCGGACTAGTGACCGCCCCCCTCCGTGCGCGCACAGTCGGCGTAGCCGTGTAATGCAGGTGCAGGTAGTTGCTGTTGGGGGGTGATGATGCTCCTGTTGAGGAACTCCCGCATCGTGATGAATGCCTTCTCCCTCGGCGGCTCTCTTCCACAACTGGCCACGCGCGGCCAGGCGGGCGAACGCGTGGTGGTCCGGGCGCAAGGACTTCATCCATCCGCGTTGCTTTTGTCGGCATGTATACGTGTCCAGACTTCTGCGACGGATGCGTGGACTCTGGCAACAGTTCAGACTGCGTACCATCTGGCGCCTGGCCGGGTACCTTCCCAGCCGAGTACCTCAGCTCCAGGTCGCATGCTCTGGCCCTGCGCCGACCTTAGCATGCCGTCTTGCTGGAGCTCGGGCGTCTCTAATGGCTCGCTGTCACGATCTTCGTGCTGGGTAAAATGCCGTGCTCTTCTTGCGCTTCCGGCTGGAACGTCCTGTCTGTCCAAAAGAAATGTTGCAGGTGGTCTGGTGCGCAAAGGTAAGCTTCGGGGTGGGGCTAAAGAGTTGACGATCTTGTAGTTGATAGTCGCGATGCTTGGTTCGATGCCGATGCCGAGCTGCCGTTTGCGCGCGAGCTCGACTGCTGGCTGCGTGGCAAGCTCCTCCATGGCAAGCTGTGTTGCTCTGATATCGGGTTTTGCGCAAGCATCCGGTTCGTTGAGCCATCTGCCTGAGGCGCTTGGACAGGGGAAAGATGGGGGTGATGTTGTGCGCGTGGTGTTGAGACAATCTGGATGCTTGTGTCTCCGCTGTTTAAACTTCCGTGTCGTCGGCTGGCAAGATGGCCTCCTCTCAGGTCAGGCGTGCGAGATCACCTTGTCGTCGTATCTCGATGTCATTTGAGATAGTGGCTAACAAAGGACATGCCTCGAATTGCGTGAGCCACGCAAGCAGCCAATTACTCCCAAACAGTTGAGGTCACGGTCGCGGGTCGCGCTCTAGTGCGGCACGCGCGGCTTCGTGATTGCACATGGCGCCGTCGGTCCACGCAGTCCGTGCTGCGTTCGAATCCGAAGTGCGGGCTCAATGGTGCGTAGAAGGCCGCGTAGCAATCCTTGATGGTCCACTCGTCGTCGGTTGGCGTTGTCGCCCATCTTTGCCGGATGGCCCAAGATAGCGGAACCCCCAATCTCCTGTTGGGCTAAACTCAACGGGATGTATATTTGCAGCCGCGCCGCGACATGTTCCATCCTCGAATCGCCCAAGCAATAGTGGATGCGCAACATGACCGTCGTTGCATCTCATCGATTTGCCTTGGCGAGTATACGTGCAGGTCGCCCTCGTACTCCAACCGCCAGCAGGCTCGTAGGTTTGCGGGCGATTAGTTTTAGCATGCACTGGTCCAAAGGATACCGCGCGTACGTTGGGTCAGCGCAGTACATGTTGGATCTCAGGTAGCAGCCAGCTGCTCGGCGCCTGCCCGCTGTCGTGCGCTGTCTCTGGGTGCCCCATGACGGCGGGCGTTCCAGTTGCATGTGCAACGGGAATTATGAGCATTGTAGTGCGTGCAAGCTGGTTGCCAATGTCGATGGGGTTGCTCTCCTTTCCCTACGGGTTATTCAGCCCCCACTTCGGCTCCGTAAAAATCGTGGCTGGCATTCCGCGTCTGAGATGTCGCGGGCCCTCGCTGTACTCCAGGTCTCGCGTCGTGGGCCTGCCGTGGTGGCGGCCAGTTCCCCGTCTCTCAGATGGTTGATTCAGGCGTCGATGGTTTCCCATCTGGCGAGGTCGCCAGCCTGTTCGGACTGCCCCATCCATTCCCGATGGCCCCCTCCCCGCCGCCGGCCACTGTAGGTGCAGGACGAATCGGACGTGTCCTCCAGATGGTCGTGGAATTGCTGGGTTGCTTGCGTCTTGGAATGCTTCGGGGATTTCACACGATGGCTCTCTGTTGTGCGCTTCCGTCTTGTCCTTGATGTCGACCGGAATGATGTCGGCCATGTAGCTCGGAACTCAGGCGTTATCCGGTGGTCTGCCTGCTTTGATATTGGCGCGTGGCGCGATGCGTATGTTCCCCCGGTTTGCTTCCGTTTCCTCGCAGTTGAAGAGCTCAACTAAAAAAGGCCATGGTGCCGCGCGTGACTGCGTGGCTAGGAGATGCTTGACGAGTCGCGCGTGCGTGGTACTGCTAGCTGCGCGTCTTGCACGTGGTTTACTTGTACATCTTATAGGACGTCTGCCGCCGCATGGTGCATCGCCATGTTTGCGTAAAGCGCGTTCTTCTTGTAGAACGTGGCTCCGCACTGGTAGATCATGTACCTTAGTTGAGGTGGTGGTGGCAGCATGGTTGGTAGTGCTGGCATGTTCTCGGTCGTCTGGCATGGTTCACGAGCGCGGTACCACTGCAAATGATGTACTTGGTCTGCTTGCCGCAGCAGGTATCGTGCAGCCGCTGTTTTGACGACTGCCTTGAATCTCGTTTGGTCAATTCTTGCTGCTTGGGATACTTCGCGCATGGCGGTTGATTGAGCAAGGTGCTCTGTGCCGTCCAAGTAGGTGTGCCTCCATAGCATATCATATTTGATCTCGTTGGCCCAGCTTGCCTCGTTGTGGAAATCCTGATTGATGGGCCCCGCGAGTATTCTGGGTCCATGTCGGATGGGTCGCGGAAAATGTCGTAGTCTGCGTGCGCGCCTTGCCACTATGCCACTGTCGGAGGACATCGGTTCGCGGTCGCCAGTCGCGCGGTGACCTGTGGCGTGCCCGTTTATTTGCATGTGCTTCGCGGCGCAAATCCTGTTGTCCGCCTCCGTGAGTTGCGTCGTCTGGATATCTGCTTCCGCAGCGGGCCTTTTCTGCGGATCATGCACTTGTTGATCCTCCCCTTGATCTCCGGCCCGGTGGTCGCGATGGACACGGACACAGTGACTGCGCCGTGCGCCGCGTGCGAGGCAACGACCTCGACTGTCTGGTCGCTGCATGTGCTTGACATGCACGCCTCCCCCCCCCATGGCCACGCAGCCCCGCGTCTTCCCCAATCCACTTCCAAAACATAGCCGCGTCATCTGTGCGTCCTCTTCATGTTGAGTCGCGCGCCGTGCATCCGTGCTCTTGATTCCACTATCTGTTGCAGGGTGCTATCAGTTGGCGCCAGCCTCCCGCGGCGCCGCGGCGGCGCTCGCTGCGAGGTCGCCCGCGTAGCAGGCGCCGCTGAGCGACTGCCTGACGTCGCGACCTCCCGTTGGCTAGCGGCGCGCCCGTGCGAACGCGGGTCTTTCGTTGCTGTCGCGGTCGATGTCGCGCAGGGTGCCTTGGTCGACCATGGCTGCGGGGATGGTTTTGGTAATCCTCGAAGAAATATCGTGGATAAAGAAGTCGGACATTGGGGCGCCAAGACTCGTGCCCGCGCTTCGCTGAGCCATGCGCGTCGATCCTCGCGCGGCCGCCCATGGCTCGGGCTGGGCGTCTCGGAATAGCGCCGCAAGGTCTTCGTCCTCGATGCACGCGTCGATGTCGGGATTCCTCGCAGCGATTGCTCCAGGAGCGGTTGCAGTGCAGGTGGCGTCCTTGTGCCGTTCAATACTTCTCGCGATGGGTTCCCTTCTTTCCGCAGATTGTGGACGTAACGGAGGACAACTGTGTAGAACGCATCTGCGAGGTCCAATGATAAAAACAAGATCGCCCATCCTCCTTGGTGCTTCAAGATGTCGATGACAGTGAGTGTCGCGCGGGCATCGAAATCGGTGCTTCTTTTCGGTCTGGCTCCACATTGACCGTCGCGTAGGATGTCGCGCGTTACGTGTCGCAGCTGCGCCCCGAGGAAACTGTGACGGCGCTGGCACAAAGCTATTGAATAATATCATTCGCCAGTCTACGAATCGCTTGCTGCTTGTCGGGTTTTCGGCACACGATGCTTGCCACCCCCCATTGTGGGATGGCGGCTCTAGTGTAGCAAATTGGCACTTGGCGAGAAAGGGTCTGTACAGGCGGGCCATCTCGGTGCTGGCAGTGCGGCACATGTGTTATGTGATGTTGTCGGCACCCCCCTGCCCGCGTGGTTTTGGCCATGTGGAAAGTCGTCTTCAGCTCGGTCCTGGCGATGATGCTCTGTATCGGGATATCCTTGTGGATTCGCGACCTGCCAGTGTCCCGTGCATTCCTTCTTCGTCCTCGGGCTCCCGAATCTCAGCGTGGCCGGCTATGGCGAAGCGGTCCAGCTCCGCCTCCGTCTGGGCCTGTTCGCGTGTGATCGGCCCACCGCTGGCGTCAGCGTTGTACCTGTGCTGCGTGCACATCCGCGGTGGTCTGCCGCCATGCCGTGGTTGGCGTTTTGCGCCCTCCCACTCGGCCTTGCGGGTGATGAGGTCGCTCGCGTGGCGCATGTTTTCCGCGTGGCTGTCGAAGTATGCGTCTTTGTCGGCTCGTATCCTTGATGCCAGCTCTTGCTGTAAATCGCCGTGCAAAGCGCGGCTCCGCACGACTCGTATGTTAGCCTGTATGAGGTTATTGAGCGTGGTGGAATCTTGCATTGCGTCGTATGCTGTCATTGTAGATATCATTGACTCCTTAAGCTGGTAAGCGAGCTTAGCTGTACATGTGCGTGCCGGCGTAGACTATGGTGTATGCTTCTATGCTCTTCGTGCCACTTGACACGCTCTCCTGATCAGCACGAAAATCGTCCTGGTGATGTGCAAATTTCGTGTTCGAGTCGGTTCCGTCTTGTACGCTGTCTCGGCTGCTTCTCTGACACTTTTGTTCAGGTCGTTGGCGTGGTCGTTTACGCCGTAATCCCACGGGTACAAGTGTATGTGGTAAAACTGATGGCGGAATCTACTCTGTCGGGTCGGATTGTTTATCTTCATGGGGTCCAAACGTGTGGCTGCACATTTGTCGGTGA